TTATGGGGCGGGGGGGGGGAATACCAAAGAAGCCCACCACAATAGCATTGAAGTTCAAAGGGGAGAACAGCACAAACACGAGGAAGCTAATGAAATGGAAATTAAAAGGAATAGTCACAAGGGTGAAGTGCCTACAAATTGCAAATGTATACTCCAAATACTTAAAGCCAAAAAATGCCAACATGGCTAAATAGCAGAGTAAAAGAGGTGATTAGAGACAAAAAAGCATCCTCTAAAAATTGGAAGTCAAATCCTACAGAGGAAAATAGAAAGGAGCATAAACGCTTGCAAGTCAAGTGTTGAGGTATAATAAGGCAGGCTAAGAAAGAATTTCAAGAGCAACTAGTTAAAGACTCAAAAACTAACGTACAAAAAAGCAGAAAGCCTGCCATACAATCAGTGGGACCACTGGATGGCCAAGGTGCTATAGGAGCACTCAGTGACGATAAGGCCATTGCAGAGAAGCTAAATGAATTCTTCACTGCAGAGAGTGGAGGGAGATCCCCACATCCAAGCCAATCTTTTTAGGCGACAAATCTGAGGCACACTCCTAGATTGAGGTGTCAGGAGAGGTGATTTTGGAACAGACATAAGTCACCAGGACCAGATGGGATTCACCCAAGAGTTCTGAAGGAACTCAAATGTGAAATTGCAAAACTACTAACCGTGGTATGTAACTTAAATCAGCTTCTGTACCAGATGACTGGAGAATAGCTAATGCGACCCTGATTTTTTTTTAAATAAGGCTCCTGAGGCAATCCTGGTGATTGCAGGCCAGGCAAACTGATTGAAAGTATAATAAAGAACAGCATTATCAGACACACAGACGAAGATGATTTGTTGGGGAAGAGTCAATACAGCTTTTGTAAGGGAAATCAGGTCTCATCAGTCTATTAGAATTCTCTGAGGGTATCAAGTATGGGGACACGGGTGATCCAGTGGATATAGTGTACTTGGACTTTCAGAAAGCCTTTGATAAGATCCTTCACCAAAGGCTCATAAGCAGTCATATGCAATAAGAGGGAAGGTCCTCTCCTGGATCAGTAACTGGGTAAAAGACAGGAAACAAAGGGTACGGATAAACGGTTAGTTTTCACAATGGGGAGAGGTAAACAGCAGGGTCCCTGAAAGATCTGTACTGGGATCTGTGCCATTCAACATATTCATAAATGATCTATACAAGGGGATGAACAAAATTTGCAGATGATACAAAATTACGTAAGATAGTTAAGTCCAAAGCTGATGGCGAAAAATTACAAAGGTATCTCATTAAACTTGGAGACTGGGCACAACATGGTAGATGAAATTTAATGTTGATAAGTGCAAAGTAATGCACATTGGAAAAAATAATCCCAACTATACATATAAAATGATGGGGTCTAAATTAGCTGTTACCACTCAAGCAAGAGATCTTGGAATCATTATGAAAAGTTCTCTGAAAATATCCTCTCAATGTTCAGCAGCAGTGAAAAAAGCTAACAACGTTAGGAACCATTAGGGAAAGGATAGATGATAAAACAGAAAATACCTTAATGCCACTATATAAATCCCTGGTATATAAATCCATGGTACACACACACCTTCAATACCGCGTGCAGTTCCAGTTGCCCCATCTCAAAAGAGAGATATTAGAATTGGAAAGGCTACAGAGAAGTGCAACTTAAATGATTAGGGGTATGGAGACTGTTCATCTTAGAAATGATACGGCTAAGGAGGGATATATTAGAAGTCTGTAAAATCATTAATGGTGTGGAGAAAGTGAATAAGGAATTGTTATTTACCCTTTCATATAACACAGGAACTAGAGGTTACCAGATGAAATTAATAGGTAGCAAGTTTAAAACAAACACCTCATCACACAACGCACAGGCAACCTGGGGAACTTGTTGTAATGGGAAGTTGTGAAGGTCAATAGTATAACTGGCTTCAAAAAAGAATCAGAAGTTCATAGCAAATTGGTCCATCAATGGCTACTACCCACGATGGTCAAGGGTGCAACCCCATGCTCTGGGTTTCCCTAAACCTCCAACTGCCAGAGGCTGGGACTGGATGACAGGGGACGGATCACTCAAAATTGCCCTGTTCTGTTCATTCCCTCTGAAGCATCTGGCACTGGCCACTGTCAAAAGACAGGATGCTGAGCTAGATGGACTATTGATACGATCCAGTACGGCCATTCTTATGTTCTTCTGAAAATGAAGGCTGGGAACGCACCAGGGTAGATAATGTGCCTGCAGAATTGTTGAAAGAGATTAGCAAACAGGGTACTGAACTGATCTAATGTTGAAAATTTAGAATGATGTACGGATGACAAAAATTGGCAAGAGGACCAGACAAAAGGAGTTTTTCTGCTCTTACTAAACCAGGAGACATAGGGAGTGTAGTAACTATCATACCATCTCCCTGATATCACGCGTGAGCAAAGCTCTGGTTTATATTCTCCAGGATCACATGAAACGGATAAAAGCAGAAGTTCCACCACAGCAAACTGGTTTCAGAGAGAGTCAAGGCACATGCAACTGAATGGCGAATATCCGTCACATCATTGAAAAATGCAATGGGTACAATCATCCCTTGATCATGTGCTTCATGTGCTGACCGCAGTGATGGAGTGATTATGGGTGAATTCCTACCTCCCCAAAGACTGATGTAGGGGTCTCCATCCCAAGGCAAGAGGTGGGAGTTTCTAACTCCCCAGAAAGGGAACCCCCCACCACCACACGGGCACAACTGTGGTGACTCCCTTAGGAATAGACCAACACGTGTTGGTGACTCCATCCAACACGACCGCCTTTGGAGAGTACTGGCAGACCTATGGATTTCAAAGCATACCAATGAACTCACTGCAAGTCTCTGCTATGAACAACATTCCACAGTGCAAACAGCAATCGGTGACAATGAGTGGATTTCCACTGGGAGGGATGTGAGACAAGGGTGTATATTGTAACCAAGCCTCTAACGTATAAACAGAATTTATTATGAGACAAGCCTTGGAAGGTTTTGACAAAGTAGAAGGAGCTGGGATCTTCTTCTTAACCAACTTCAGATATGCTGATGGATTCTCTTTGGGTACGTCTACATTTACCTCCGGGTCCGGCGGCAGTCAATCGATGTTCTGGGATCGATTTATCGCGTCTGGTTTAGACGCGATAAATCGATCCCGGAAGTGCTCGCCGTCGACGCCGGTACTCCAGCTCGGCGAGAGGAGTACGCGGCATCGATGGGGGAGCCTCCCTGCCGCGTCTGGACCCACGGTAAGTTCAGACTAAGGTACTTCGAATTCAGCTACATTATTAACGTAGCTGAATTTGCGTACCTTAGTCCGAAGTGGGGGGTTAGTGGGGACCAGGCCTTTGATACAACACGGCTGCAATGCAACAAGTCTGCAAAAACAGTTTGTGAGGAATACAGACTGTTCCTGAATGCAATGAAAACAAAATGCATGTACATTGACATGACTAACAAAACAGGATGCAAATGGACACCACAATTAACTGACAAGCTGGAGAAGCAGTAGATGAATTCAATTATCTGGGATCATGCACACCAACCAAGGAGGCGGTTCCGAAGAAATCAGAAGGCTAGGGATAGTTTGCTCAGCCATAGTCTCCTTTAAGAAAGCGTGGGGAAACCGTGGTGTATCGGAATGTAACAAGGTACAACTGATGAAAAGCCTAATTTTTTCTCTAGCGATTTATGGATGTGACTCATGGGAAGTTAATGCTGCTGACAAGAAGAAAATTAAAGTTTTTGAAATGTTGTGCTGGCAAAGACTCTTGCGTATCTCCTGGATGGAAAAAAAGACAAATGCTTGCGTTAGAGATACTGTTGGAGAGAAACAGGCCCTGATGTCAGAAATCAACAGATGCAAATGGATGTCGTTTGGTCACATTAGAAGATGGAAATAACCTTGAGAAAGTTACTATGGAAGGAATGGTGGAGGGTCATTGCAGATGGACACCTGCTGTTGTTGCAGGGACACAGCAACAGAGTGTCTGAGCTTGGGACGGGGACAGGCCCAGGGAGCAGCTAGTCTGTCTGTCCACGGTGAGGTTGTACTGCACTGCACAGAGAATCAGCCTTAGCCCAAAGGAAAGGGGTGCCCCGATTGGTGACTGGGGGAGTGATGCTGGAGCAGCACTTGGACTGTTTGCTGATGATAGGTTGTTACTGACCGCAGTGATGGAGTGATTATGGGTGAATTCCTGCCTCCCCAAAGACTGATGTAGGGGTCTCCATCTCAAGAGAAGAGGTGGGAGTTTCTAACTCCCCAGAAAGGGGACCCCCCACCACCACACGGGCACAACTGTGGTGACTCCCTTAGGAATAGCAGACCAAGCCCAGAACTTACTTGGCTGAAAGAGAATATGGTGGAAGATATGCTGATCACCCAAAGTGTCCCAGTTCGACCCATCCACGATAGAATTAATATGTAGGCATCTGTATTCTTTGAAAAATGTCATTCTCTGGGGACAGAGAAACGTTTGCTGTCCTTACCGCCTCTCTGACCCAAAACAAGTTCCTGTGCACCAAAATGTATTCCAATTGGTGTTGGGTCAGTTTTATACTCCACAGAAGCCAGATCTTCAGCTGGTGTGAACTGGTGTAGCTCCATTGTGGAGTTACCCCACTCAGACTAGCAGAGGATTAGGCTTGCATATGACTCAAACGAGCGGAGGCTATTATCTGCTTGTTCATGGGCTTAACGATCAGGGGTTTCAAAACACTCTTACAGCTTTTCTGTGTCAATTATGTGTAGCTGTTTTGAAACCGGGATTATGAAATGGTTATTAACTTGGGCCCTCTGCCTCAGCTGCTGAAACCTTCCCCATTGTAGGGTGGATTTCTCATCACTGTTGCACACTGAGGGAGAACAAAAAACAAAAAAACTTGACAGCAACAACTAAAAGCTATCTGTAGAAAAGAATCACTAGCAAGCAACAAAGCAAAGATTCATCTCTTTGATTTGCTAGAGGGGTTTCTCTGCTGTGGTGGTTTACCTCTGGCGGTAGCTGTTTCTCCATCCACGTGAGCCATGCACTGCATGGCAGTTGCTCCGACACATATTGGCATGCTGATTTTCTGCCCGAAGACAGAGGTGGACAGGTCCATAACAGACACATCCCTGAGCATCCGTGGGTACAGCCTCAATCTGACAGAAAGGAAACGGGGGAGAAAAAATGAACTCTATTATTCACAGCTCACAAGGAATGAGATCAGGTTTCCTTTCATCGGGCCAATCGTCAGGACAGGTTGAGAAGAGAAGGAAGCCCTGAGAGCTATTTGAAAGGTAGGCAGGGGTTAGTTAAAAGCTAGGGAGGGACACAGTGTATATATATACACACCTTTCTACTGTATCTTTCACTCCATGCATCTGATGAAGTGGGTTTTAGCCCACGAAAGCTTATGCTCAAATAAATTTGTTAGTCTCTAAGGTGCCACAAGGACTCCTTGTTCTTTTAGCTTTAATTTACTATCCCAAGCTTCTGTGACGCTGATGAAATGCACAAAGCAAGGGGGGAAGGAATCAATAAAGGAGGAAAGAGGTGAAGAGCATTAGAACAGTGGCTCTCAACCTTTCCAGACGACTGTCCCCCTTTCAGGAGTCGGATTTGTCTTGCGTACCCCCAAATTTTGCCTCACTTAAAAACTACTTGCTTACAAAATCGGACATAAAAATACAAAAGTGTCCCAGCCACCCTATTACTGAAAAATTGCTGTTTCTCATTTTTACCATAATAATTATAAAATAAATCAATTGGAATATAAATATTGTACTTACATTTCAGTGCATAGTATCAGAGCAGCATGAACATGTCATTGTCTGTATGAAATTTTAGTTTGTGCTGACTTCACTAGTGCTTTTTATGTAGCCTATTGTAAAACTAGGCAAATATCTAGATGAGTTGATGTACCCCCTGGAGGACCTCTGTGGACCTCAACCCCTGGTTGAGAACCCACTGCCTAAGAACATTATCAGTTGATACAGTATTAAAAAAAAACAGCCAGAAGATGCAAAACAGTTACACGAGTCTCCATCCCAGAGCAGAAATGGGTGTCTGTCAATGTCAGATAGCAAGAAAAGTTATTATTGGTCACCTCGACGTCCCTCGATTATTTCTCCCTGTGGAACTGCGAGCCTCTGGAAACAAGCATTTCATGGAAAATGGTACAGCATGGTCAGTGATCTCATGCACTTTTGTCCCTATGTGGCTGACACCCTATTAATTAGCTGTCTATAATATGCCATGTTCTTTCCTTATGGCTATGCTATCTTACTCCCTTCGCACCCAGTCGGGGGAGTTAGGGAGTCCCAGGTAAGTCTTTCATTCCATGGCATGGGCTAACTGCATCATCGTTGGTGACCTTGTGGGGAAAACACTCTCCACCGGGCTTACTCTAGATGCAAATCACAAGATTACTCTGTTGGATTAGCTGAATTAGTTTGACAGTTTAATTTTTGTCAACTCAATGGCTGCATTAAGTGACAAATGAGTAGACAGGTGATCAGTGAATATCCTAGCAGGTGAGCGATTATGTGACAATTAACTGGGTACGCCCCGTGCACATTTTGAGAGGAGTGGCATGTAAATGCATTGGATTGTAAAATGCTTCTTTGATTTTTCAGGCAATGGGGAGAAGTTTGAGTAGCAGGGGGGTGGGAAGGAAATGGGCAGAGCCTTGGTTTTCCTCACCCTCTCCCACTTAAAAGCAATGGCCCAGTGCAGAGGGGAAAGTCACCTGCTACTGATCTGTACCAGCAACAAGATTACTTCCTTCCTGGAGCAAGTGGGGCGGGATGGAATGAATTGAAATGCTCCGTTTGTTGCATGGACTGCTTACGCACAGCCACGCACTCCCTCTTAGGCAGGGCTGATGGGTAAATTACACTCTACTCCTTGAATGAGTCTGGCAGAATCCGTCTGACCATCCCAGCCCCTGTATTGGGCCCCATCCATTCCAACACCTGGAAATAACATCGTTGCAGAGCACACCATTCTGGTTCTTTATAAGGGCCAGATTCCCAAAATGGATGCCATGAAACGGTATTCCAGAACAGGTACCAGAAGAGTCATGTATTGCCTCGCAATAAAGCCGAATATCATGTGCTTAGACAGTAAGCAACTCAGGACAGGGAGTCTTTGTACAGCACCTAGCACCGTGGGGTCCTGGTCCCTCCTTGCCTCGCCCCCTCCTTCCCCGTGATATCACAATATAAGTAACAAATATGCACGTGGTGACGTTAACGCTGGGCTGTCTGTCAAGTCACACTTACTGCTAGCAACAGGCTGAGTTCCGAAAGACAACAGTAAAGATCGACCGGCCACAAGAGGGCGTGCATTAGTAGGTATTGGTGCATGTCCTGAGTGCATTGTGAGACACAAGGAGGGAGGGCTGGGTGCTTTTGGCATGCAGTGACAAGACACACATCAGTATTTTGCTAATGCACACACAGGGATGGCTGCTTGCTATTAGATTGTGGCGCCTGAATTTTAACTAAAGAACACTAAGTAAAAGCTGCCCGGCTCCCACTGCTGAGTCCAGCCACCCAGGCTGCACTAGAGTCATGGATTCCCTTTGAAGCACCACGTCTATTATTATTATTATTCATATGAGGGTACCTTCTAAATGCTCCAGTGTGCTAGGCCAATGGTTCTCAAACTTTTGTACTGGTGACCCCTTTCAAATAGCAAGCCTCTGAGTGCGACCCCCCCCCCTTATACATTAAAAACACCCTTATAATGCTGGAGGCAAATCGGGGTTGGGGTGGAGGCTGACTCCTTGCGACCCACCCATGTAATAACCTCATGATCCCCTGAGGGGTCCCAACCCCCAGTTTGAGAAGCCCTGTGCTAGGCATTATAAAACCATAATAAGAGAGGGTCCCTATCCTGAAAACTTACAATCACAAGTTTTTTAGAGGGGAAATTGAGACACAGAAAGATGAAGTGACTTTTCCAAGTCATGCAGGCAGAGTCTGCAGCGGAGCCAGGAATTAAACCCAGATTCCCTGCATGTCCATGCAGTGTCTTACCCATGAGACCATCCTACTTCTCCAGGAAAGGGCTCCCCTGGGAAGAGAAATATGTTACCTTCCCTTTTGTTCAAAAGATTGTGCTCAGGAATAGGTAAATAAGTACCTGCGTGATTTAACTATGCGAGCATTATTTGTGTTCTTGAACTGCGTGGGAGCCTTAGTCATGGACCATGACCCCAGGGTGCGAGGGGCTGTACAAACACAGAACAAAAAGATGGCTCCTGCCCCATAGAGTTTACAATCTATCTTTTTTCTCATCCACTACATTCACATAAGACATGGCCCTCAGCCTTGTGCCTAGCAACCCACTAAATAAGGAATTACCACTCCCATCAAGACCTCCCCCTGTCCTATCTGATTGTTGTGTTTTGGTGAAGGATAGGTTGAGGGTTGCAAGGAAGGGGACATTGCTTCCCCCCTGCCCCCCCCCCCCCCCGCCATCATCCTCTCTATTCCGGCACTTACAACCTAGAGTTCACGGAGACTTCCTATATGAAGCCATAGGTCCAGTTTCTGTTCTGGCCTGGGCAGACACTAGAAGATTGGTGTGAACTGTGTGTTCTACTGCCACCAAATAACACTTACTCCTTGCCTTACTGCAACTGGTCTCCTCTGACGCTCCGAGTGCTTTTTCCCAGTGCTTATAAAACAAGGCAGAAAATGTAAATCCCTCTAAAACCTTTGCTCACTTTTCCAGGCAAACTTAAAATAAAACCTTATGGTTCTGGCAGTTTTAATGGTGAAATCTCTGTAACTTGAAGTCTTTAACCCATGATTTGAGGTAACTCAGCCAGAGGTTAGGGGTCTATTACAGGAGTGGGTGGGTGAGGTTCTGTGGCCGGCAACGTGCAGGAGGTCAGACTAGATGATCACAATGGTCCCTTCTGACTTTAAAGTCTATGAAAGGTTTTCCACCCCCCGACCTTCTACTTTCAGGTTTTGGCCGTGCTTTATTCTGTCAGGCTCAGATCTATAGGTGCTGGAAGTAGGGGTGCTGGGGGGGGCTGCAGCATCCCCTGGCCTGAAGTGGTTTCCATTATATACAGGGCTTACATTTTGAGTCAATGGCTCTCAGCCCCACTTCTATTCACATTGTTCCAGCACCCCTACTCAGATTCCCCAGCTGGTGTAAACCAATGTAGCTCTGTTGAAGGACACCGCTGAGGATCAAGCTGTAAGTGCCAAAATACCACAACTCTCACCAGGAACAGACGCAGACGTACCAAAATCCCTTTTTAAAAAAAAGACAGTTTTCATGAGATTTCCAGCCTAAATTTGCAGAATCAGGAGGCTTGGTTGTTGTTTATAAACATCCACAGATTAGGAGAATAACCAATAAAACAACCTCAGTTCCCAGCCCCTTGGACCTCTACTATCACTAATATATGGCTTCTAAAATATTATTTTTTGTTTCCTTTTTTTGATACTTCTCCCCTTCAAACGTTTTCACGGAGCAAGTTCTAGACAGATGTTGGACCAATGCTCATGTTTCAGCAGTGGTTTTACAAGGTCACCCATTCTGATGAAATAAAGAAAAGACACATTTGGTTCCTCCAGCCCTGGACCAATAGCATTTCCTGGACATATATTCAAGATCGTGTACATTTTTTTTAATAATCATCTATTGAGCATTCACTTTTTTTTTTCAAGCTAACGTAGCCTGTGTAACCATGTGCTGTGATCAGCTGTTATAAACGGTCAGTCGTTGGGATGGAAAACCACCAGGGTGCATGTAAGTGATGCAGGAAGTAACTTTTGTGATTTCAGTGGCTGTGATGGTCACTTGTAATCACTTAACATCTATCGTTCTGTAGTTAATAAACGTATCTTATTGTTTTATCTTCACCAGTGTGTTTGGATTAGAATGTGGGGAAAACTCCCTTGGGAATAGCAAGGCTGGCGCATACATGATTTCCTTTGATGAAATGATGGACTGTCTGAGTGTGCATTGTTCTGTAGTGTGCTGGACAGTACAAGACGCACGTTGCTGGGGGAAGATCCGGAGCTGGGAATTAGCGGGTGTGGGCCTGTATGTAATTCATGAGTGACTGGTCAGAGGGCTCACGTATTTAGCTGGGAGTGAATTTGCATGCTGAAGTCAGTGTGAGCAGGCC